TCCTCCATTGGGTTTCAAAGGGTTTCATTGGGTTTCAATACACAACAAGAAGAGAATGTCCATCTTTCTCCTGCTGCTGGTTTTAAATCACAAGAGACACAGCTTTTGGGTTATTAGTGCAGCTTGCTTAGGACTATGACATCAGCTATTCCCAGATTTATTTTGAAAAAGCAATCCAAAACAAACTGCCATGGAGTTGGAACTGACTCACAGCTCACCCTGAATTGGGGGTCAATTCTTTCTCCCAAGGAGATGCTTGTGAATTTTAACCACCAAAAAAAGTACATTCTCTTGGTTAGTAGGCAGCCTCCTATAGATTACCACTAGAAAAACCAAAAATATATTATGTAGTTGGTGTTAAATGCCTATTTTTACTTTATCGACCATGCAAAGGCATTTGTGTGGATCATGACGAAGGTGGCTGACATTGAGAAGAATGGGAATCTCAGAGCACTTGATTGGGCTCATGCAGAACTTATACCTGGACCAGGAGGCTGTTGTGTGAGCAGAGCAGCAGAGAACTACATGGTTTGGAATTGGGAAGAGAGCGGGTCAGAGATGTATTTATCTCCATACCTGTTCAATCTATATGCTGAGCAAATTATCTGAGAATCTGGACTCTATGAAAAGATATGTAGCATCAGGATTGGAGGGAGACTCAGCAATAACCTACGTTGTGCAGATGACACAATCTTGCTTGCTGGAAAGTGAGAAGGACTTGAAGCACTTGTTTCAGAAGATCAAGGAATGCAGCCTTCAGTATGAGTTGCATCTCAATATCAAGAAAAGAATTCTTACCACTAGATCAATAGTCAATGGATGGAGAGGAAATTGAAACAGTCAATAGCTTCATCTTGCTTGGATCCACAATTAACACCCTTGGTACAAGCAGTCAGGAAATAAGGAAACATTGCATTGGGAAAGTCTTCAGTTAGAGACCTTTCCAAATTATTGAGTAGTAGTGATGTCTGTTTAAGGACTAAGACATGTCTGATTCAAGTCATGGTCTTTTCAATTACTAGCTATGCATCTGAGAGCTGGACAATGAATAAGGATGACAGAAAAGAATTGGTGCCTTTGAGTTATGGTGTTAGACAAGAGCCCTGAACATCTGATGGACAGCCAAGAAAACAAACAGATAGGTCTTGGAGATGGTGCATCTGGATGCTTTTTGCAGGCAAGAATGATGAGGTTTCACCTCACATACTTTGAACATATTGCTAGGAGGTGCTATTCCTTGGAAAGGGACACGATATTGGGAAGAGTGGAGGGTTGGTGAAGGAGAAGAAAACCCTCAACCAGGCCGACTGACACAATTACTGCTGCATTGGGCTCTTGTGTGTTAGGAAGTGCGAGGATGGTAGAGGGCAGGACTAGGTTCAAATCTTT